TTTTTTTGTTTTTTTTTTTTTTTTTTTTTTTTTTTTTTTTTTTTTTTTTTTTTTTTTTTTTTTTTTTTTTTTTTTTTAATATCGATCATAGTACTCTTTCAGCAATGCAATGTTAAAGGTGTTGCCAAGACTTTTCTTTCTATGGTTCTTAATTTATAAACATCTTGTTTTAGCATTTGATGGATGTAAAATGAACTATCACATTTTGGTTCTAGCTTCATACTTCTATTGTACTTTTTCGATGCTTGGTATAACAAGACTTTATCACTGATATCCAAATTAGGCAGAAAAGTGGCTTTCTGATCGTATCGTTCCTTTTGCTTTTGTTGTACTTGTTGGATCCTCTGCACAGCCTCATAACATGTTATCAGTAAATCTTCTAACAATTAGAACATCCTTTGTATTATCATCCCTTCTAATAGATCATCATGTTTAACAGGTTGTCGGGCCTCCCTTTCATGCATCAAGTAGAATAGGATGTTTTTGGTAGTCGCATTTCTGCAAGTTCAGTATGCAAACAATACTGCAGGTATAATCATATCCCAATCATTTACATTCTCTATTGATCTTGCAATAGATTCATACAAGGTTTTATTGTACCTTTCTACCAACCCATTGGTCTGTAGATATTATGAGGTGATAACAAATGCTTTATTTGAAACTTTTCTAATAGCTTGTCGACTAGTTGATTCCTAAAGTGGGTACCACAGTCTGATAGTATTTTCACGGGATATCCGTGTCTACACATGATATTCTCAAAAATAAAATCTGCTACACTTTGAGCATCTGTGGTCGAAATGGCTCTAGCCTCTGGCCATTTCATCATATAGTCAGTTGCCATGACTATATAGTGGGAGTTTCTGGGTATGATCAATAGAGGTCTAACAATGTCTATCCCACTTTATAAAATAGCATTATCACTAGTATGGGCTGTAAAGTTCTGCTATATTTATTTTTCCCTCTTCTTTGACAATTTTCACAAGATTGAATATATCTTCTAATATACTCAAATGCTTGGGGCCAATAATAGGTCTTGTGGCTTTTTTCAAACATCATTTTAGCCCCGAAGTGCCCTCCAAGTGGGTGATCATGCGTCAATAAAAGAATACGGTCGATCTCATGTTTCTGGACCACTTTTAAAGGTTGGTCTTGATTCTTTTTATTTACCTTATATAATAAACCATTCTTTACTAAAAATGTTCTACTATGGTTAATTATTTGTTTTCTTTGCTTTTTATCTAGGTTGTTTTCTATATATCCTTCTTACAAATATTTTTTTAATCGGTTATAGTCTTCTTTTTCCATTTTTGGTACTTCTTTTGCCAGAATACTGACTACCTGGACTGAATTTTATTTATCATCAGATTTGGTGCTTCGTGGTATTGTACTTTTTTTTCACTTTTTTTATTTCTTTTTTTTTTTTTATAATTCTATAAGTGTTGAATTGTCTCCAGGGGATATTGGTTCCAAGATGATAAATCTTCAGTGGTCATGTAATTGGTCCTTCTTATAAGTGTTGATGGCTTTAATATTTATTTGTTGCATGCAACCTAAGTTGATTTCAGTTGCCATTAAATACTCTCTTTGTGCTAGCTCTTGTTGGGCACTAGCTATGATCTATTCTTTTAAAATCAACAGATTTCTTGGGTTATGTGCAATAAGTCAGTATCTGAATTGCTCTGTCAAGTCTATAGTCTTGCCTCAGTTTATCACTTCCAGAGCGAAGTGTTTGAGTTCTATCAGGTGGAAGTATACATGAATAATCTTTCCGTAGGATTAGTTCAGGTGGAGGAAGTTTAACGCACTATGACAGTCACTATTCATTTTCTGAAAGTATAGTAGTGTTATACTTTGGGTTCACCTTGGCCATTTATTTTATTAAAAGTCTATTCACTTGGTCCTGGTACTATGTTTTCTACTTCAATACCTTCCTTCTGTTCGTCTTCATTTTCTATTATTATCATAAATACTTCTTTTTCTTCATTTATTTTATGGCATCCATCTTCCCCTTTATAGGTTATTACAGTTTCATCATCATTATGGCTATACCAGAATTCGTCATCTCCTTCTTTGTCGGTTTTCAGGTTAGTATTTTCTTTACAATTTTCTGATCCCGTTTCGCTCAGTATTACCACACCTCTGCTTTGGGTGGATTTATCATCTGACTTTAATGCTTCTAAGACTAATTCTCAGTATTCTAATTCCCTCCGGTATTCTTCAATTATGAATCTTCTCCCTGTACTTTCTCTGGAGTTAGAAAATAGGCTAGTAAGAGTCCAAGGCCAGAAACTCTATTATTGAAAAATCTAAGGGTAGGTGAGTAATCTTCTGGTTCTAACTTGATGGTTTCTTCTTTCAAGTTACTATTCTCTACTTTAATTATGAACACTTCACATTCCTTAGCATCATCGTACCAATTATTTCTCCACTCTTGGTCGCTCATACAATCTTCTTCTAGTTGCTACCACATTTTAATATTCACATTATCTCATTTATCATCGTCACCATAATCAACTCCTCCATCTAGTTCACCCTACTTTGGCGGTTTGACACTATACATTTCATCCAGACTTGGTTAGTTTTTTTTATATTTGATATTGGACTACCGTGTCTTTTCCACAGCATCATACCTCATCCAGATTAGTATATGATCTGATTCCAACTCTAGCTGTTCTAGCAGCTCTTGATAATCTTCATCTTCATCACTTATTCATTCTTTATATTGATTAGATTTACAATCATCATCTCATCGATCGTTGGGTATGTAGTCAGCCATTGATATATAACATTCTTCTTTCTCCGCATTCATTATAGTAACAACCATTTTGTTCAATTCCTTTTCATCAGCTGTAGCTTCTTTCAGGGTTTGTTTCTTATTTTCTTTTATAATTTATACTTCTGCAATTTCTTATTCTGTTCTATTTATTCTTGATAATGCATCTGCATTCAGGTGAGTACTTCCTGATCTGTGTTGAATACCAGTATTCGCTCTTTAGATCTAAACTAGTAAACCAACTTGCAGTACTAAAGTTCCTACAAAACGACACCCTAGACAAAGAAGTGAAGGAAAAGGCAGAAACATTCTTTCAGAAAAAAAGAAACTTATTTACCAATAATATGCAGTGTCTTGGAGAAACCACCATAACAAGTCACCAGATCAATACCGGCAGGGCCAAACTAATAAAGCAAAGAGCCTACAGAGCAGCGCCAAATGAATATGAGTTTATAGAAAAGTAACTAAAAA